AGGGATCATGTATCCAAAGGAAAAATTGAACTAAACCATATTTCAATGGAAAATTAACTTGCAGATATTTTTACAAAACTACTATCCTTTGATACCTTTAGCATGTTAAGAGCAAGGCTAGGTGTGATTGATCTTAATGCTTAATTAAAATGTTCTACAAACATGATATGTTTTTGTGTGTTTTTTATTTTGTATTTTAATGTGTTTATTTTTGTTCAGGATTTACTATTTTTGTTTTGATGTTTTGTGTGATCTTGAAATGCTTTCACATTTGATTTCCTATTTCTAATCAATCGTGTGAATTTTTCTAAGTGTTATGTTTATATTGTATGAAATTATTTTTGTCCCATATGAATTCTATAGCATTTTGATAATTATTTTGAACTAATTGCATAATGTTTTTCATTTTCTAATACATACTGTACTGTACAATCTCTATATCATCGTGGACGATGTGTATTCATTCGTATGTATGCACCTAGACAGTTATAAATGCAAAATAAATTATTATAACTGATCGTACATATGAACAATTAGTTTGTATGTATGAATCACGTGTCATTGAATGTTGGGGATGAACCTAACTGTCATTAAAATGATCTTAAGTAACCGATCATCCTAGATTAACACATATTTGTCTGTAGGATTGTATGGTAAAAAAGCTTATACAAAAGGATTCTTCATAACTCGCATGATTATGAAAAGTCATTTCATTTTGAACGCATTCATTCATATATACAAAATTTATTTTCACACGTACGAACCCATTAATCATTCTGTATGAACCTCTATTCGTACGTATGAAAGATCTCTTCTCTTTAAATACGAGGGATTTAGAATTCGTTTTCATTCACTTTAATAGCCTTTTCAAATCTTTCATAATTTAGCAATGTCCAGCTCTAGCAAGTGGGGTAGACTAACAAAGGGATCTTCTTTGAGGAGTGGAGATAGTGACTTTCTTTGTAGTGCAAATGAGGATTCCTTTCTTAAGTTTTCTTCTTCCAAAATCACTCCTTCCATAATCCTAATCCAAGAGGATATTCACTTTCAAGTGATGCCTCTTTTCGCTTCTACTCAGTTTTCCTATATCTTGACCTTAATCTATGCCTACAACAAAGAAACCTTTCATTACTTTTTGGAAAACATGTCTTTTAATTCAGATATGAGTAGGATTAGATCTAATGTTTTAGGAGAAATATAGAAATAATTAAGGAGGATTTGGGAACTTTTTTACACTTAAGAACTCAAGGAGTTAGAGCCCATAGTTTGACTTCAAAATCTAATTATGACTGGTCTGAAATCAATAAAGTTCTTAGAGGGATTGAATACGTATGTCATTTGCCTAGAGTCCAAACATTAAATCAAAATGCAGGGTTATTTAGCATGTCCTTAGGACTTCCATTATTCCTAAAGCTGGTGATTAGATTAACATTACTCCTCTTCTGTCCACTATTACTTATCTGATCATAACTAGTCAACCAATTGATGAAGCACAACTTATTATTGACTATATTAATGGAATTTTTGAAATTGGACATGTTTCACATAAGAGGAAGAAGAACATTGCGTTATGATACCTAGTGGCATATATCCTTGAGAAGAAGTACATTCTTGTTCATCCTGAGCCTCATCTTAAAATGCCCATCTATTTCACTGATGCTTCATTCCGAGCACTTTTTGGGAGAGATGATTCAATTGATGATTCTAAGAGAGAAGGGGGAGCACCAACACCTGCACCTGTTCTTACTTATGGACCTAACTTTTAACAGATGGTCTAGCGCTTTTACTGGCTAGAAAGTCATTTTAATCAGCGCTTTGATCATATTTAGACTTATCTAAATAAGTAGGATGCGCAGTATCAGCAGGACATGGACTAGATTCGAGGTTAGTTCGACTCAGTGAACACCAACGTGGCTATGTTGAATAGCTATTTTTACATCTTCAACCAACCACCTTCTCAAGACCAGGGCCACTTAGATTTATAGATGTACTTCTTGGATTCTATCTTTTCCTGTTTTTTGAGATATGATGTGATAATCTTTATGTTCTATTTGTTTAGTATTTTTTATGTATTTGTTTTTTATTATCAAGTATTGATACCAGTCAAGCTCCATCGTATTACTCTTTCTACTTGATATCAATAAACAATGGCTAGTTTTGTTTAGTTAATTTTGTCATTCATTTGAAATGTTAGTTTGCCTATATGATATATCTGACTTAATTGATCTAAAAAGAATTTTTAAATTAATCTGCAGTACAAAAATTAATTTCATTAGGAAATCTAACTTTTTAAAAACTATAAATTAATTTATAACTCGATCAAGTTAAGGCTATCAATCTCATGTTCTTTTTAGACATATATAATTTTAAAATTATTATTGAAATTTTGATGTCTTATTATTTTTTATTTTCTCTTTTCAATATAATTATATTTGTACTTAGAGAAGTTTGAGTTTTTAAATTATTGTTTTTGGAAAGATCAATTAAAAAAAATGGGGAAAATGTACAAAGTATAAAAATTGAAGGAATGCACAATGGTATACAAATTGAAAAGAGCCACAAAATTAGCCCAAATAAAAAGTGCATAAAATGTGCTACAAATATTTGGAAAGATGCACAATATCTCCAAACAAGTCTATTGATATTGTTCTTCCTTATATCTTTTAATTGTCAATTTCAAATATATCTAACGTTCAATTATATTTTATATTGAATATTGAATTTAATTAACCTTTATTTTGTCACTTTTGTAATAATTCTCCTTATCTAATTGTCTAGAACGTCTCATAACATTGATATATTTTTCTTGTCTATATTATATTTTAATTTAAATATTTTAAATCTTTATATTTTATCTAATGGACATTAATCTTCTTATTGCAATTATATTTTAATTTAAATATTTTAAATCTTTATTTTTTCTCAAATGGACATTAATCTTTCATTTCAATTTTTTCTTCTTCTTTTTTTGTTGTTGTCAAAAGGGGGCGAAATATTGTTTGTTTGGTTTGTTTGCTTGCTTGCTTGCATTTGATTTTTAGTGTTTGTTAAAGTTATTTTACTTTTATGTTTTTCTGATTTTTTAAGTATTTGGAGTGTTTTAATTTTATATTCTTTGTTTAAAATTGTTTTTGTGAGCTTTGCGCGGTTTGGGCAATCCATTAGTCTTGGAAGAGAGAGAAGCTTCCAATTTTTCTAGAGAGAGAAAATCTTGTTTTTTTTCAAATTTTTCTATTTGCGGGCTTTGCGCGGGCGAAGTTTTGTCGCCGGCAGGTTGCCGGTCGGAAGATTGGCGGTGCTCCACAACTTGATTCATGGCAAACATTTGATCATCAGGCTCCAATCGGGGTATTGGCAACGGTAACAGTGGCATTGTAATCAGAGATGGTGCGTAGCCTTTGGTTCACCAAGAAGTGGTTGAAGGCAAAGGAAAGAGGCATTTGGCTGATCGTGATTCTGGTGTTGATCATGATCTTGCAATTGAGAAGTTCATTTTAGATAATATTCCGGAGGTATCTTCATCTGCTGGTGCGATCTTGAAGGTTAGTAAATTTGTGTTGAATCAGGAAGATGTAGGCGGCCGGGATTTAAATTCTTAAATCAAGTCCTCTTCTTCGAAAGTGGTTTATAATATTCCACTAAAGATGTCAGTTTTGGAGAAGAACCTGGAGTCCTGTATTTAGCGGGATTCTTCTAGAATTAATTCGTAGGAGAATTTTACTGAAGCTAGGAAGAAAACCCAACACTTCAAGATTTCGGTAGATAAGGTGATAACAGAATTGTCCGAGGACGGGTTGGCGGTCAAGCTTAATGCAGAGTAGGAGGTGTTAAATTTGGAAATTCTTAGACACTCTCTGGTAGTTAAAGTTTTAGGAGACAAAGTCTCTTTTCCTTTGTGCAGTCTGGAATTGAGGAAGCAACGGAGCAAATTGGGTAATTTCCATATGATGTATATATGTATGAACTGGATTTTATGTTCATTTAAGTCTGTGGAAGCGATGGAGGAAGTACTAAATGGTGGTCCTTGGTTTGTGGGAGGCCACATTGTGGGGATGGATAAGTGGTCTCATCTTTTCAACCCGAATTTCTTCAGGGGAATTACTGCACCAGTTTGGATTCGTTCCCCCTACTTTCCACTGTATTATTGGGACGAGGAGAATATTATTAGGATTGCTTCCAGAATAGGGACTCCAATGTATTTGGATGGTAATTCTTTTAAATGGGGGAAACGTGAATTTGCTCGAGTGTGTGTGAAACTGAATATGGAAAACAGACCCCCAAATGGTGTGTGGGTTGATGGTATTACTGGTCGGTTCTTCCAAAAAATAGAATATGAGAAGATTGATTTGATTTGTTATTAGTGTGGCATGGTTGGTCATGATAGAAAGGATTGCCCGGAATGTGTGAAGACGTTTTCTTGTGATCATCCAGTAAGGAAGGCTATTGCTGAGAAAGTTTTGGGAGGGGTGGTTGGTTTAATAGAAGCTGAAAGTGATTCCATGTGCAATTTAAAAATAGGAGATTCAAAATGGGAAGATGGCGGGAGTTGGTAGATCTAAAAGAAATATAACTGATGTTAAAATACAGGCTCAAGGTCATCATTCAGATACAGGGCAAACTCAGATTCAACACAAGAAGGATGAGGTGGAACCGGGACTGAAACAGTTTGAGGTATTTATTTTGGAAACAGGTAATGATGTTAGTAAAGAGGAGATTGCTTTGGGGGTATCCGTTGCTAAAGAATTTGAAGCCTTGCTTGAGGATACGGAAGAAGGGGAAGTGATGGATCATACTAGTGTAGTCAAGAAGAATGAGATGGCTATTATTGCTGATTTACCTGAGCGTGTTGAATCTGTGGTTTAACAGAATAACAGTTTAGTCAAGTTGAAACTGGCTAAGGAATTAAAATCACTGGGGCCTCTCGAACAGGATCACAGGAAAAAGAGAAAGGAGGGCAAAGGAAGTGTACCACGTGGGAAGGGCTCCTTAATGGTTAATTAATGAATTCATTACTTTTCTGGAATTTCAGGGGGGCCAGAAAAAAGGAGGCTTCCTTGTATCTCAAGGAGATTGTTACGGATCATGATGTTTGTTTTGTTGGTTTGATGGAAACCAAACTATCTAGTATTGAAAGAAAGGATGTTGATTCCCTTATTGGGAGGGATTGGGATTATTTCCATTTCCTGTCGTGGGTACTTCTGGGGGTATTTTGGTCTCGTAAAACATGAAGTTTCTCTCTTTTAATGTTGAGAAGAGCTCCTCTAAATTGGTGGTTGGTTCTCTTTTTACACCTTCTTTGGGTGTTTGGAAGGTGGCAATGGTGTATGGTAGCAAATGTCATAATGAAAAAAGGAGTTCGTGGAACTTGATTGAGGTTTGTATGAAGGATTCGGGTCCTACTGTTGTGGGAGAGGACTTTAACTGTATTTTAAACAAGGAAGAGAAGAAGGGTGGAAAAAGATTCTTATTCTCTAAAGGACCTAGAGAAATGAAAGAATTTATGACTAATTCTGATTTTCATGTGGCAGGCTTTGTTAGACCAAGTTATACTTGGTGTAACAATATGGAGGGGTCCTCTAGGATTTGGGAAAGACTTGATAGGTGCTTGCACAACACCTCGGCTCTACACTTGGTACCATATGGGAAGGTTAAGGATCGTACTCGTGTGGCTTCTGATCACGGCCCGATTATGTACAGTTTGGATACTGAGAAGATTAATAGGAGCAAGGTTATTAGATTTGAAGATACTTGGAGGTCATATCTGGCTACCTGGATTATAGTCACTAGTTCATGGAAGAAGGCTAATTTTGGTGAAGAGGTGGAGGTGTTACACAGAAAGCTTAGGAGGACGTTGAGAGCACTATTTTTATAAATGCAGAGATCTTTATAAGTTGAAAGATGCGCTAAAAAGAGAGATCCTGGAATTACAAATCAAAGAGGCTTCGGGCTCAGATTTTTCTTGTGATGATTTGTTCAATCTTAGAAGGAAGATCTATGAGCTTAATGTCACTCTTAGAAGACTTGCTATTTGGTGGAACCAAAGAGCAAAAACTAGGTGGCAAGAGGAGGGGGACTCTAATTTAAAGTTTTTCCATAATTATGCTTTAGCCAGTTGGAATGCAACGTGGATCAGGCAAATTATGGATGCCAACAATACTCTAGTGGAGGAGGATGATCAAATTGAGCAAGTCTTTCTGCAGTTCTTTGAGAAGAAATGGAGGTATAAAACTTGTGACTTGACTGGGTGGCCTTGTCCTTCGGAAAAATAGAAGATGAGTGCTTTGAATGCTGCTTCCTTGGATACATATTTTACTATGGAGGAGTGCAGAATCTCTGTTTTTCAGCAAGGTAACAATAAGTCTCCGGGACTTGATGGGGTGACATCTTCCTTTTCAAATGTTACTGGAATTTAGTATGTGAGACCACTTGGAATGCGATAAAGAAATTCCTTAAATCTGGATTAATGCACAAGGAATGGAAAGATACGCTCATTGTCTTAATTCTTAAAATTAAGAATCCGGTTGGGCCTGATAGTTTTAGACCCATCAGCCTTTGTCAAAGCACCTATAAAATTGTAGCCACTATGTTGGTTAACAGATTGAAGACCTGTTTGCCCAGAATTATTTTAGAAGAATAGGTTGCATTCATTCGAGGGAGGTCAATTTTGGAGCATTGTTTGTTGGCGCAGGAGATTTTTAATAAGCTTAAAGTATCAAGAAATAAACAGGGGCTGATGGCTGTGAAACTCGACATGGAGCAGGCGTATGACAGCATGGGATGGCAAACCTTGAATCATATTCTACACTGGTATGGCTTCCCCTCTACCTTTTCTAATTTACTAATGTAATGTGTGGTAAATGCAAGGTTTTCTATTATCCTTAATGGGAAATACACGAAGTGATTGATGCTCATTGTGGATTCAGGCAAGGCTGCCCTCTCTCACCATATCTTTTCATTTTGTGCTATCAATTGCTTGCTAATGCAATTGAGCAACGAGGTCAAGAATTGGGCATTCAAATATCTCCTAGAGGACCCAGGGTCTCGCATCTTCTTTATGCAAATGATATGTTGTTGTTCTCTCGGGCTACCACTTCTTTGGCACGTTTTTTAAAATGCACTGTGGAGGATTTCTGTAATTGGACGGGCCAAAGGGTGAATGTTAATAAATCCCAAATTATTTTTGGTAAGATTGCTAAGAGGTCTTAGAAGAATAAGGTGGCTAGTATCCTCGGTTTCAGGGTGGTTAAGGAATTACATTACCTGGGCATTAAGATCTCTTTACCCAGAATGGGTGTTGCTGACTTTCAGGATCTTTTATGCCATGTCTCGGATAGATTAAATGTTTGGGGGAAAAAGTCTCTATCTTTGGGAGGTAGAATAACACTTATCAAAACCTCTTTGCTTTCATTACCAAGCTTTTCTATTACTCATTCCATGGTGCCAAAGAGGTTGATTCATCGGGTGGAGAAATTATTTGGCATAAACATAATGGGAAACTTGGGAAGCATTATGTTGCTTGGGAGGATATTTGTTGTCCAATTACGGCTGGTGGTTTTGGTATTCAGTCGATCACAACCAAGTGTGGTACTCTACGGGCAAGGTTGGCATGGAACTATATCCAGAAACCTGAATCTCTATTGCACCGAACCTTCAAAGCTAAGTTTGGTAACACTATCCTAAACGATAATTTCTCGAAAGGTTCTTCCAATGCGTGGAAACTTTTAAATGATGGAGGCAAACACTTGAAACCCATTGTGAGATGGAATATTGGAAGAGGAGATAAAATTCAAGTTTTAAGTGACATATGGGTGTTGGATAAGTGATTAAAAGACTGGCCAACCTTTGTTGACTGTGATGCTTTGGAAAATTTGAAAGTTCAGTATTTTATTTCGGCTACTGGGGAGTGGGATGAAGGAAAACTTCTTAATTTTTTCCAAGAAGATCTTGTTTGCCTTATCAGGAAAGTGCACATTGATGGTCAGCAGGAGGATTAGCTGGAAACCATTTGCAAGTTTTCGGGTAAAACAATTTCTGCAATGGCTTATGACAGAGTGATGAAAGGGAAATGTGTAAGTGATGATGTGGGATTTTACAGTTGGCTTAAGAGTTTAAAGTTGAACTATAATATGGAATTTTTTTGGTGTAGATTAAGTAAGTTTTCTATTCCCACTAACCATTTTCTAAAGTTCCGTAGAATTACAGCTGATGATAGCTGTGCTAGAGGTTGCCAGGTGGTGGAGAACTATGAGCACATTATTGTTCACTGCAAGTATCTTCAAGAAGTGGTTAGTAAAATCCGAGAATGGAGGTTTTGTATTCCTATTTTCCATTCTTTGGAGGGCTGCTTAGCTGAGCTGAGAAGGTGTTCTGGCCGTATGTCTGGCTTGGCTAGAATCTATTGTGTGGCTGTATTCCTGAACTGGAAAAACCGAAACTTAGTAAAGCATGCTAAGGAAGCTATGCCATGTTCTTCTATGGCTGCAAATGTGCTTTCTTTATCCATTTTAAAATCCTCTCCTTATCTAATAAACTTGGGTGCTAGTCTCCCAAGGGAGTGTTATTATACTTGGCGCCCTCCTCCGCTAGATTAGATTAAGATAAATATGGATGCTTCCTTGTTGAGTTTGAATAGAGGTGGTATTTTCAGAGATCATAAAGGTAGACTTCTTCTTGATTTTGGAAGGAATAAGACTCATTGGGACATTGCCAAGCTTGAGATAGAGGTGATTGTGGAGATAAGAGAGTTTATACAAAGCTGGATGCTTGAAAGCTTGGGTGTTATCATTGAAAGTGATAATGCTAATGTGATTACATTCTTACAAGATTCTTTGAATAAAGTTGATTGGCACTTGGATAATTGGCCAGCCAATGAACTTTACTTAGTGACTTTAATAAGGTCATTTTACATCATGTTAATAGGGATTGTAATAAAGAAGTTTATTTTTGTGCTACTTTAGCTTTAGATGGTAGCTTTACTTTTGATAGTTTTTCCTTTGGTAGCATTTCAATTCCTTTGATTGATTTGATCAAGGATGAGATGTTACCACTTTAGTTTGTATCTAGGTTTATTTCCTTTCTTCTTTTAATTGCATTGCTTTTAAAAAAAAAATACTATTTGGAGTATTTTGTGGTTTTTATGAAAAATTCAAAAAAAAAAAAATTGTTCTTAATAGAAATCCCTTTCTATTCACATGCCGATTCAATTAGGGGGAGTTAAGGAAAAATTTATAATTTTCAATGTTACTCAAATAATAATTATTTTGTCATCATAAAAAAGGGGGAGATTGTTGAGATAATTGCTACTTAGTCTTGTATGTTTGATATTTTTGCAACTTGTATGTTTTTGATGATTTCAAATATTATTGTTTTGATTATTATTTCTCTTTAACATATTTTTGAAGAATTATTTTGCTCTTGTGTGCACTAACAATTAAGGGAAATCACTCCAGATTATTTAAGACATCAATTCAAGATCAGTTTAGGTTTATTGTAATTGAATTATGTATTTTCCATTTTATATAGTCTGAGAGAGTTTGATTAAAATTGTGTAACTGAGCACACACACACTGAGGGAGAATTTAAAATTCATATTTTTAAAGCTAATCGTACGGTACAATTTCTCTTCGTACTGGACGATCTGATCAGTTATTCTCTAGACGAGCAGTCATACGAACAGGAATGAAAATTTTTTCTATATAAATCATATGGGACAATCCAAATTTTTATACAGGGATGCACACGCCTATTTTATTCTCGAATGAAGAACATATGGGATGATCATAATTTTCATACAGGGACGAACACCTCTGTTCTATTCTCGCTCGAAAAAAAAAATTTCTAAGTATGGATCATACGGGATGATCAGAGTTTTATACAAGTACGAACATCTCGGGATTATAATCATACGATTCATCCAAGGACAAATGGCTTCGGTCTATGCTCACACGAATTTTTTTTTCTAATTATAGATCATACGGGATGATCCCAGTTTCATATAGGTACGATTGTCTTGGTTTTATGATCATACATGATGATTTCAATTTTGTACCAGGATGAACATCTTGGGTTTGTTCTCACTTATTTCATCCTGATGTTTTGTACAGGCAAAAATTAAATTTTCTAAGGGTTCATCCTAGACGAACTCAGTTCATACCAGACGATGATCGAGTATGAAATGATTTCATACCAATTCCCAATAGGTGCGTACAAAACAATTTTTAAACTATTCATACGTATGAACATACGATCATACAGTATGATCATGTTCACTCAAAGTTAAAATTTTTAGTTTTTTGGATGATTTTTTATGTCTTTCATATAAAAGGTCCATTAAAACAGACTTGTGAGGGTCTGGTCTTCTTGATTTTTGAAGGGAAATTAAAGAAGAGAGTGTGAGATAGTGTTTAAGAGAGATTTATTTCTAGTGGAGTGTGAAGGGTTCATAAGGCTACTCAAAGGTAAGGATCTCTATGTGTGATTTGAATTTTTCACTCTTCCTCTTATCTTTCAAGTTTTGGTCGTGAGAAGATTCTTGAGGAAAGGCCAAAGGTTTGTTGTCTACACTTGGAGAGTGTGAATAGCTGAAGGTTCTATGCCTACACTTGGAGGGTGTGAATAGCTGAAGGTTCTGTGCCTACACTTGGAGGGTGTGAAAAGATGAAGGTACTCTGCCTACACTTGGAGGGTGTGAAAGGATGAAGGTACTCTACCTACACTTGGAGGGTGAGAAAGGATGAAGGTTCTCTACCTACACTTGGAGGGTGTGAAAGGACAATGGTTCTCTACTGCACCGGGGATTGGTGGAAGAGAGTTTTATATAGGCTTCTCCGCATTGCTATGGGAGCAAAAGGAGAGTCATTTTGGTAATAGTGCAATACCTAAAGTGGGAGGCTTCGGGAAGTGGATGTAGGTCGTGTTTGAATGAACCAATATAAATCTTTATGTCATTTTAATTTATGCTTCTTACTTACTGCAACTTTAATTTCATGGTTGAAAAATCTGCTTTAAAATAATTTCTATTAAAATTGCTACGAATAAAAAATCGGTTTTAGTTTTTAAATCTAAGAGATTTTTTAAATTACCAATTCAGCTCCCCCCACTCTTGGTTAGCCTTGGGACATTAGTCTAGGTTTAATAACTTATTCTAGATTCTACAAGAATCAACAGGTTTTCTAATGTTTGTTGAGGATTATTCTTATTTTGTCCATAATTTTGTTGACATGCACTCTATTGATTATTACCACCAACATTTTTGTTAGATCAACTAAAA